GAACCACTCATGTTTTACCCTATATTAACTATTAACTATCTGTAAAAATATTATTAAGGCCAAATAATCTTCCACGAATTAATTGACAGCAGCTTTCCACACAGATAGTGGTGCAAAGAAGCTTTTTCATAATATTATTAATTTGCCGAATTTAATGGTCCTTTACACTTGCATGATACAAATAATCAATTCCCTTAATTTTAAATTCCTACACTATGAAGGGGGTGTATTCTGACATCCAAGGAAGGTCTTAGTTTTAATCAGTTCATATTACTTATTCATCCATCGCTCTTAATTTTGTCAGGGCCAACGTCAAACCCTCTTGTTCTCTGCCACTATGCCAAAGAAAATACAAAATTTTGCTAAATCTGCTCTTGTCCAGCCTGTAACTGTAAATGTGGGTCGCGCCGGAGCCGCCAGCATGCGAGTCACACAGGATGTTGAATACGTTAAACACGAAGCCAAGATACCTCAGCTTCTACAAGCGCTGGCGAAAACCTCTCCTCCTGTACGTCTAGTTCCCATTATAATTTTATTTTTCTATTTTCTTCGATTAATCAATTTTTTGCTGACCGGAAATTATCGTTGGGGAAAATTTTTTTCGCTTATTTTTACAAATTATAAGCTATTAATTTTAGTGTTGGTTCGACCTTGTTTTCGCAACTTGGTCGGAGCGTCAGGGAGACCTTGTCGAACGTACTTAGTTCTATGTCCTCTGCCATAGTGTTCGTGATTTCCAGCATTGGTCCACTGGTTGGGTACATTTCCAAACGTTTCGCTGGCACCGTCTGTGAGAGGTGTCATCGTATGCACAGAGTTACAACTTATCAAAGAGACAAGTGAAGGCAAGCCCCTTGACCAATTTTCTGTTCAATCGTTGTGGCATCACTCTTTGCCCCTATTTTTTATTCTACCTTATAGTGCCGCATCTATTTCTCTCAACTCTATTTCATATTGTCTATCCACTTATTCACACAATTCTGTGATCTCGTTTCCTCCAATGTCTCTTAAGAGTGTGACGCTACAAGTTGGTTTAGGGAAGCGTAATCATCACCACCGGTACCAGATGCCGTTTGCAAGGCCCCTGACCTACATTCTGCTCCTATTTTTTTCCCCTACCCTTCATATCAATTGGTCGCTGATAAACATCGAAATTTCCCAAGGCTTCATAACCATGACTCGGTTATCCTCTCTCTTTTTCTAACCCACATTGTGTGTCTTTCTTTGAGACTCTGTGTCCGGCTTATAACCACTGGTGTGAAAATGCGCTGCTTACTTTTTTTCCCTTAAATCATGAAAGCACATTCTTCTCGTTCTTCAAGTTGACACTCATTTAAGCTTATTGTTCTACGAATTTCATGTGCTTATTGGCAAGACAACAAATTGCTTAGGTATGGAATTATAAGACAACGTAGGTTAAAGCCAGCGTACCCAATTAAAGGTGTTTTCAAGGCGACGACACTTGCCGATCAGTAAGACGAACTGAACAAGTTAGTGAATTTATCCTTACTTCCTCTTGATCCTCAAACCACTACGATCCTGAAAAAAGGACTAAACTTTTCTTTTCAAAATGGCAGAAATCTTCTAGAAGACATTCTAGCGGAGGTCATCAATATCTCCGACGAGTTCCTTGAGGAGACAAAATGAGAAAGAGAGATGGGAATAATCCATATAATATTGACACATTATCAACCAACGCACATGAACAGATTTGCGAAGATACTAAGAACCCTAGAAAGGAATAAATAATTGGTCTTTCAGGTGGACAAAGGAGGAGCGACAGTTGTAATGAACAGGAAACAGTATACTAAGAAAATGGAATGTATACTGCAATACAAGACTACGTATGGTGTATTAAAGAAGGACCCAACTAAGAAAATATCCATATGAATGAGGATATCAATGGATGGACAATAAATTCACTAATAAAAAAGGATGCATTATCACCAACAGCCAACGGGTTATCAAAGTCACACAAAACAGGGGAACAACTAAGACTGACAGTTCACAACATGCATAGAGCAATACACAAATTAGTAAAGTTCATATTTCCGAAACTCAACAAGTTAAACAATAGGTTATCAAACACACTGTAGCACTCATAAATTTTCTTAAAAAAATCAAAAACAGAACACTGAAAGAAACAGAATTATTGGTAAATTTTGATGTACAATCTATGTACACAAATATTTCTGGAGAAAAGACGCTGATGAACCTGCTATACATTTTGGATCGACAAGAGGATATGATAAAAGCAGAGAGTATCAAAAGGAAGTCGTTAACACAACTAATCAACTTTACAATAAGTACTACCTACTTCACATTCAATGACAACATCTATGAACAGGCATTTGGACTACTATAGGATCACCTCTCTCACGTCTATTGGAAAATGTATATTTGGACAAATTAGCCGATAATTTCACAGTTTCACGATGCAGCCAAGAGTTCTTGTTCAGTACCTAGATGACTACTTTGCAATATAGTCGCATGTAAGAGAAATGTTGAAGGATTTCCTGAAGTTTATAAATGGGGTTGATGAAAAATCAAATTCATAATGGATGTAGGGGAAGAGAGGCGTTAAGCCTTCATAGATGTTGCGGTTATTCGCTCTATTAGGACACTCAAGAGGAAATAATTCCGAAAGAAGTTATATGCCGGCATAATACTCAATTTCGAATCTCATCACAACTACCCAATGAAAATAGGCGTACTGAGGAGTATGATCATCAGAAGCATACGATTAGCGGACGTGGAATTCTGAGATGAAGAATTGGAAAAATTGTCTCGGATATTCCTCGGTAATGGATATACGAGCGAAGTAATTCAAATAAACATACTGGCCGTGAAAAACCGATGGCAAGACGGAGATAAGGAAAAAATATAAGGATGTAGAAAGGCTTACAAGAGTGTATATGTCTCCCTTCTTTTGAATTAGTTCAAACACTACAGTCATTATTAAGAAAATGGAATATTCAGGTGACTACGAAGGAAAAAACAGCACTTCACAAGTCTACCCACACAGCATGAGAGGGTAGATAAATTGGATTACTCAGGAGTTTACTGCAAAGCATGCAGCTTCTGCAAGCAGAAATACATTGGGGAAGCTGGAAGAAAAATCGGCAAATAACTCAAGGAACATCAAAGGCTGCAGGAAAATGGACACTGAAGGCTCAGACATAGCGGAAAATATGGCAGAGACTGGACACGAGATCAATTGGAAGGCCACAGTTTTGATTGTTATTTCAGGTCTCATCAACACTCGTGATGGGATCCGAACCATTGGCATGAATGCCAATAAGAAAACCTTCATCCCCCCATTTCAAATGCTTACCCTGCGACTCAATTGTCTTACGATCGTGGGACTTAAGGGACAACGCTTTTGCGTCTGAACCTATACTTCCACGGCTTTAATACCGTTGGGAATACTGATGACACCAAGACTGACCAAATATCGATCCAACTTGATTGGCAATGGTCCCATGTGATGCGTGTGGCATTGTAGTTCGTTTTAAAATTAAGTCTAATTCATCATGGA